AATGCCTAGAATTTACCGAAGTTGACTAGGTTTTTAACAACTCTGAGACTGTGCCTAGGACTTACTGAAGTTGACTAGGTCTTTCGCCCTACAGAGGGACGCCCTGGGAGCAAAATAGTAAAAATGACAACCCTGAGGTTGGGTGCCTAGGTCTTATATAAACGCTTGGGTCTTCAGGATCCTCATAATGGTCGAGAGACAACTGTGGGAGTCGACCATACGGTTAGTGCATTTGGTTTACTACTGAAAAGACACTAAGAGCTTTTAATTTCTGCATTGGATCGCACTACAGGAGTGCGAGACAACAATTGGGTTAGTTTCAATAAGAATTTCATTAAAACTAAGTAAAATTTACAGTTATTGAAAACATCGTCTCAAATGCTCGATGTTCTAGGGATGTTGTAAAGCTCTCCCGTCTGGGGCCTTTAGTCGATAGGTGCCGGCTCGCAGCTCTTCTAGGACTGTGTAAGGATCTTCCCACTTGGGAGCTAGCTTGCCTCGCCAAGTGTCTCAGTCGAAAGCGGCTTTTGCGGAGGACGAGGTTGCCAGCATTGAATTTCCTTGGTCGGATTTTGCTGTTATAACAACGGGCGATTCGCTACTGATTGGTGACTTGGGTCCGGAGCGTTCTCTCGGATCTCGTCAAGGAGGTCAAGGTTGACCCGAAGTCCTTCTGAATTCATATCCTTATCAAAGTGTTGTAGTTGAATGGTTGGTATGCCTACTTCGACGGGAATGATTGCCTCGGCGCCATATGCTAGCTTGAATGGAGTCTCTCCAGTTGAGTTCTTGTGGGTCGTGCGGTACGACCAGATGATACTAGGCAATTCTTCCACATCCTTGAGATCTGAAGGCTATGAGGCAAGAGGCTACTCCAGGGGAGGAGGCGTTCTCCGGGTGATTCAACTCTAAACTCCGCTTGGCTATTCTGAAGATTTAGCAATCAAGAAGCTGGAGCAGTTCATTCTAAAAGACAACCAGGAGTCAGAGTGGTTTTCTCTAAAAGGGCAACCAATGTGGTTTCCTCGAGGAAGCTTTGAAGGTTGAAGGGAGCTCGACCATCCTGTGGATGGATAATTGGCAAATACTCCCCAAAATGGTTGCTAAGGCTATAGAGTGCAGAGGAAGAGGACAATGTCGATTCCTCTCAGTCAAAACCATTTTCTGCTTAGCTTGAGTGACACAACTTCGGGCCCCATTTAGCTTGGGTGACATAACTTCTAGGTCGAGCTACAGGATGAGACCGATCATGCCCTTGTTCAGAACCTGACATATCTTCTCGAAAAAGAGAGGAGGCTCCACAGTGGGCGCCAAACTGTCGATGGTTTATATGATCAAACAGTCGTATGTATCCAGGGTAGGATAATTCCGATGAGGTAGATGAGATTGATGAGGGGATCACCTTCTTCTCTGACTTTATGTCTGGTTCTTGAATTGAGGTTACTGAACAATCTGCACATGTAGAAACTCCTTATGTTTTTTTTTTATTTCGAGTGGGAGAAACTCCAATTCCGTTGTACCTCCGTCGATCAAGTTAGATAATAAAATTGAGTGAGAGAAAAACAGCAGAACTTAGAGTTCTCCCACTCGTTTTTTATTTTGAATTAATCTCCTCTTTAAAAGGTGAATAGTACCTATATTTATACTCAATGCATAAGTGGTAGATTAGTCACTTCGGCCGAGCACAGAAGGGCAGTGGCGAAGTGTGGGCTGGCAGCTGAGTCAGCCTCCACTTTACAGGTGTCAGCTAGAAACAGTGTGGACTGACAGCTGAGTCAACCTCTGCTTTACAGGTGTCGGCTGACGACCGAAGAGAGGATCACTTCGGCCTCGATTGGGGAGTGATCGGCAGCGTGTCAGTACCCACGTAGGCTGACAATTGATGTGGGCTAACGAGCCCCGAGGTGTGATGATGCCTGTCACGTTTCAAGTATGATGTGGATATGTCAGTATGGATAAGCTTCGTAATGGAAGATAACCCTTTGGCTTCCCTAGGAAGCAATGCCTTTCTGAGTCGTCCTCGTGAGGTGTCTGGCGAGTCGATGGGTGGTCGTGTGGACTTGCTGGCGAGTCATCTTTGATAGGGAGAGACGACAAGTACCATCGTTCGTGTCGACATGAAGGGATGTCGACGAGTTCAGTCGGCCATGTTGGGAAGTGTGTCAGTCTTGGCTGCCAATTTGTAATAGAGTATATGATGAGTTTTTACTATTTCACTGTTTGGCAATGAATCATATTTTATTGAATGGGATCACCATAACACTCAGCAATGCAAAAATAACTACAGTACGAGTTTTCTAGCTATGCCAGCCAGTATAGCCTAGAAGTTATGACAAATGGACGTGAAGAATGCATTCCTCCGTGGTGAAGTAGATAGAGAAATTTACATGGAACAGCCTAGGTGATTTGAAGGTAAGGACAAGATAGAGTATGTCTGCAAGCTAAAAAAGGCTCTTTTTGAGCTCAAGCAAGCACTGAGGGCATGTTATGGAAAGATTCTTAAATTTTTTGTTCAAAGCGGATATTCTGTTGCTTCTGCGGATTCAAGTTTGTCAACAAAAATGATAACAAACCTACAATTGTACTCGTTTATGTGGATGATCTGATCATCATAGGGGATAACGGAGAAGAAATTCGAAGGATAAAGAAAAACCTCTCAATCCGATTCCAAATGAAGGAGTTTAGAGAACTGAAACATTTTCTTGGCCTTAAAGTAGATAATATCAAAGACTGTTTATTTCTCTGCCAACATAAATATGCAAAGGATTTATTAATCAAATACGGGATGACCAAGTTCAAGCTAGTCTCAGCACCGTTGGAGATAAATACCAAGCTCTGTGTGCATGAGGGGAAGGCTCTAGATGATCCTACCATGTATCGTTAATATGTTGGAATTCTTATTTATCTAATTCTGACAAGGCCAGACATTGCATTCGTCGTTGGAATAGTAAGCCAGTACATGCAGAAGCTAAAAAGCGTCACTTGGAAGTTGTTCGAAGAATTCTAAGGTATGTCAAAGGAACACAATACTCGAAGGTCTGCCGCTGGTTATGTTTTCAGTCTTGGTTCCGCAGCTATAACTTGGTGTCACAAAAGACAACCAACTATATCACTGTCAACCATAGAAGCGGAGTACAGGTTAGTAACAATGGAAGCTTAGGAAAGCATATGGTGTCTGCAGTTGTTAGAGTATCTACATCAGCCTATAAACTACTTAGTTGCTTTACATCGCTTTACATCGTGGTAATCAATCTGCAGTTTGATTGGCGGTGAATCCTGTTTTCCATGCGATGATGAAGCATGTTGAATTTCATCAATTCTTCTTGAGAGAAAAATCAGGATGAGATTATACTAGAGTCGATCAAGACAGACGAACAAGTAGTAGATATACTCACCAAAGCATTTAACTCCCTTAAAATTTGCAGAGTTCAAAAATCAACTTAGGCTTGTGACTAGGGAAGTCGGTCTTGATGGGGAGTGTAAGAGTCACCACCGAGTCATCTAACTCTGTGTTCATCACCAACCTCATAAGTTGGTAATTTAACCAACCCGTTTAAGTTGGTTATTAACTGCCATGAATTGATTGGCTCCTTTTCAAGTCAGATATTTTTGGCTTAACAGTCCGGCTCAAGAATAGGCGGCTCATGAAGTCTATATAAGTGGGTTAGTGCCAGTGAAACTTGTGTGCATGTGCGAGAAAATTTGAGATGTGTGTGTGGTTCGTGTTGGTTTGAAAAATTAAGAGAGTGGGTGGTGCATGAGTGCTTGTAGTGTAGTGTAAAATATTATTAAATTAGTGAAATACTTTGCTTGGGTTTGTTTGCCCATCTTGAATTTTTTTCCTTTCGGGTCCTTTCACTTTGTTCAACAGGTAATCCTGCTGAGAATGTTGGGTCTCTATTTTCTTTTCTACGGAATTTCCTACCTAATCTAGGCATTAGATAGAATCTATCTCATATGCGTATTTCAGAGAATCACAGGGCTTAAAGCCTGTTTGGCTTGTATTCAGATGAAATAGGTATGACATATTAGTAGAAAAATATAAAGAGTGTTGTTACCCCTGGCCACCTTTAATCCTATGTTTTCAGGCTTGTTTTGTTATTATTATTTATATCAATTGTCTTCTGGGTTTTCAGTTTTTTAATAAATATTTGTTAGTTTTCTGTTTAGTTTTCATCCCAGTCATGCCTACTCATAACAGTAGATTATGCATTAGTAAACATTTAAGTGAGATGTGCAATAGTTTTAGGTGACTGCTTCTGTAGTGCATATGTAAGAAAGTGTCATGTTATAGTGCACTGGTTAGTCAGGTCAGTCTCAGGGTAAAGTTTGCAATACAATATGAAAGGAGAATCACTATTTCTGAATAGAACTTAAAGGCGTGGAATTGATTTGTATGGAAGAACATACTAGTGCACAGACCGGATGGAAGATAGCTTGTTGCTATGTTCAATTAATCATATTTTGCATTGTTGGTGAAATTGCATAGCCTGTTTATTATTCTTTAGACGCTACGTCATGCAACTTGAGCAGCACTGAACATGGGCTGGATTAACTCATTTTTCAATATGTTGGCTCAGTCAAACTTTCATTGCTTCTACTTATATATAATGGCTCCTCACTTATAAGTTGTAACTCAAATTAAAACTAATGGGTCAATGAAGGGTTCTCAGTGCATACCTTTGAATGATGAAATTCATGATAATTCATTATTTAAGTTGCATTAACTCGCATGAGTTGTAGCCTAAGAGTATGGACACATCAAACATGAAGCCGTATCATGTCTAATGCGTGTCTGGCATACGCATCAAACATGAGTTTTGCATCACGTGACTTAAAATTTTAGCTGATCGAACAGCAGAGAGGGGCTGTTGTTTTAGAATAGCTTGCCAAGGAGATAGCTATGTAATTGAGTATTGAATTTGAGGAATTAAGGATCAGGGCATTTTGATGGATAAGTTGTTGTATCATGAATGTCATATGAATTTTTTTTGATACAGGCACCCAAACAAGAGCCTAAAGAAGAAAAAACAGCAAAACCTGCTAATAAGTCTGCAGGAAAAAAGACAAAGCAACCTGAAGCAAAGGCAACAGAGGTAGCTGACCAAGTTCTTGCAGATCCTGTTGCAGAGAAACTTCGGCAACAGAGGTATATGCACTTGACAATTTGTCTTTCTCCTGTTAGAGCTTATTTTTGGAGCTTTCATGAAGCTGCTACTACAAAGGATAACCTTACTTTCTCTGCGTCATCCCCCCCAACCCCTTTCCCCCTCTCAACTGCTTCTGCCCTCCAATGAAATAGTGAAAGAAAAGAAGTCTGTATCACCTTTGTTTACAAAATAATACAGGAGAAAATGTTTTTAAAAATTTCCTCAGCAAATGGTTCTCTTCACACATGAATGTGGAGAAGGCAACTACAAATTCTTTAAAAACTTAGAATGGTGACTGGAGAAGTTGTTTTCTTTTCTTTCTCCGCTACTTCATTGTTTTCACCACTATTGCAACTAACAGTGAAGGAGCTGGAATAAAACATACAGCTTCCTTTGAGGGAACTGTCCTCCAGCTGATATTATACATTTCGTTGCAGACTTGTGGAGGAAGCTGATTACAAGGCAACGGCAGAATTATTTGCTAAGAAAGGTGATGAAAAATCTCTGGATAATTTTATTCCGAAATCAGAAAGCGACTTCTTGGAGTACGCTGAGCTCCTTTCCCATAAGATTCGGCCATATGAGGTAACACTATTTTTTGAGGTTTGATCGGAACTCTGCTTTCTAGTGTTATTCCTCTACCGGCTCTGATCAATTTATCTTACTCATTTCTTCGTGGCACAGAAGAGTTTTCACTACATAGGCCTTGTCAAAGCTGTAATCAAGCTTTCTCTCACTTCAGTTAAAGCAGCAGATGCAAAAGATGTAGCTTCATCAATTACTGCAATCGCAAATGAAAAACTCAAAGCAGAGAAAGAAGCTAATGCTGGGAAGAAAAAGCAAGGTAGAAAAATTGAGTATTATCTTGCAGTAAATTGCATGCTCCTTATTCACTGAGTAGTCAAGCATAAGGATCCTATCAGGACACCCCCCTAACTAACCCCTTGATCACCCGTGAATGATATAGATCACCCAATCTATGGGGGTGTTCTAATAGAATCTGCACTCGATAATTAACCGCTGCCTACATGTTAATTATTGTTTGAGTTGCACAGGTGGAAAGAAGAAGCAACTTCATGTGGATAAGCCCGATGATGATGTTGCTGCTGGTCATTATGATGATGTAGATGACTATGACTTTATGTGAGCAACAGAAAAATTCCTTTTTGTGTATCAATCTGAGGCTGAAGGTTCTGCGGCATTAGCTTGTTAGAGAGCCAAATTTCAAGCATTTGGTGTTTTTGATATTTCTCAATTATTTTGGGGGTGTACTTCAATATTTCTTGAACAATAAAAAGGAAGGATACTAGGCTATGGGAGGCTGCTGCGAGATGCCCGTAGCATTATTTTTTTTTGACCAAAGTTTACAATGTAGCAAATTAACTGTGTTTGGATTAAACATATTGGTTTTGTGACGATCGGATCGTGTTTGAGACGATTGAAGATCACATTTTGGTGATTCAACTATTTTTTTAGATCGATAAGCTGTATGCACTGCCTAGCTTAATTTGGATATGGTTGTTGCGCTCACTGTTTTTATCTACACGGAGAGGAGCTGGGTGGGATTTAAAGGCTACGTCAATTTAAATTTAAATGTAGAAATTATCACGTCCGGTCGAAAGAGTTCATCAGAGACCAAGTAAGATTTGTACTCACAAAATATCCATCCAGATGTCAAATCAGATTCTTATATGGACGTTAATATCGGATTTGGGTTTTGATTTCAGAGCATCAACTACGACCTTTACTGCCTTCGCGTTCCTCGGTTTATGGGATGCTGATCATATCACTACCTCTTGCTTCACCATCATCATCATCATCCTAGTGAACGTGGCGCGCCTCTCCACGACAAACTAATCAGCTGCTTAGTGTGTGTGTGGGTGGGGGGATCCAGTTAGAATGTCTCTATGGCTGCTAAGAGCATCTCCAACTCAAAATGACGTAGTTTTTACACCAAATCACTATTCCATCTCTAACCCATTTACATCAAATTTTATACCAAAAAGAATATTTCTTTTATTATTCTTATCTTTTAACATTTTTATCTGTTTAAAATATTTAACAAATTAAATAATTATGAAATTTTAAGTGTAAGTTTTTCTTATCTAAACGTAAGTTTTTCTTATTTCTTCATTTGGTTCTAGTATTATAAAATTTTAAGTGTTTGGATTAAATTATCTATTTTTTTATTTTTGAATTTTATTTTAATAATTATTTTATACTCTAACTTCATTATAATAGTTAGTTTAAAATAATATATATTATCAATACAAATATAAAAAACAAAAGCAAAAAAATAAAAAAAAAACTAAATAGAATAAAATGGGAAAGATGATGGATAAAATGAGATATGGTTGAAATATTTGATTTGTTATAACAAACTTTTAGGGCAAATTTGGAGGGGAAAAAACTCCATATCTACAGTGTTGCGTCATTCTTGGCGCAACACTGTAGCAGCGCTTTAAAATAGCGCTAACTTTGTCATTAGGTTGGAGGAAGTTTTGACGAAAGATTTGCGTCAGTTTGGATTTTTGGCGTTGGGTTGGAGATGCTCTAATGGTACAAAAGTAAACAAAATCCGTACCTCAAATTATAAATGATGCTAGATGTAGGTCATGCCTAATTTTCCAATGTGATCAGTCGACGTGTATAGAGTGGGCACACGAACGGCAAGGAACTATTATTATTATTATCAGTACAAAGTAAAGTTAGGCTTAATAGTTGTATGGGCGGCGCTTACTTGGGGATTTTTTTTTTTCTCAACTCTTTTGCAAGCAATTTAATCACCGAAAGCTAAACAATGGTTAAGTTGGGTAATTTGGATTGCCGGCAGGAGGGCAGGACTCCTTTTTTGGCTTGAAATCAATGTTCACTTCCCCGCTTTCGTGTTACTATGAATGAAAATAGACAAGCAATACTCTATATCACGTCCATTTCTTCAGAAGAATCATAGATGCCATGTGCTTAACAAAAAACGTGTCCTCCTTTGGTTTATTGATGCCTAAAAAACTAAGAAATATGAAAACAACTAAGAAGGTAACTTCAATAAAGTACACAATTATACTCCATTTCGCTATCGGCCCTAAAACTCAGCATCACGTAACATCTAAGTAAAATATTATTTTTATCGCAACAACTTATGCCATCAGCATCTAATAAAATATTCTTTTCATCCAACAACTGTCATTCCATGGAAAACAACATCCCACGCATATCTAATCAAATATTAATTTTCATCTAAACAGTACTCATCCACCACATCTAATAAAATATTATTTTTAATCCACACAGTCACCTCACTTCATGCTCCACTAGTAGAAAACGACCAAAGCTAGACGGAACAATGCTAGACGGAAAATTTGTTTGCCGTCTAAGATTGGATCAAAGTAAGAGCGGAAAGAATTCGTCTAAGATTGTTAACGTCTAGTTTGGATCAAAATTAGAGACGGAAATTTCCGTCTAGTTTGACGAAATTCCCAGAACGGAACAGACAACCTAGACGAAATTCCGTCTAGGTTGACTATACAACGCTAAGAGGCAGTCGCGTGCTATGTTGTATAGTCAAAACTAGACGGAAATTCGCGTCTAGGTTGAGGTTCGCGTCTAAGGTTTCCTAGGGCAGATTTTTAGGCCCCTTACCGGCGCGCGCACCCCCTCCCGATTTCTATGCAATCTCATCCACCCGACCCCGCGCTTGTTTGGTCTCGCCCCCCCCGACTCCCCCCCCTCCCTACGACGTCGGCGCGTCGGCGCCCTCGCCCACGATTACAAGATCGGAGACAGCCCCCTCAAAATCCGCCTACGGCACCTCAGCCAACAGCAACCACTTGTACTCACCCTGCGGCCACTTTTCTGGCCGCTGCCGGGTCCGACCACCGTCCCAGTCCCCCTCCCCCCATCCGACCAAACCTCCTGCCTCCGGCGCTTCGTGCTCCACCGCGCCCCCTCCCGACCCGCCTCCTCTCGCACCGCCGCCTCCTTCCGGGTTCGCCGTCGCCGCCGCTTCATCCGGCGACACGTGAATTCCCGCATCCCGACCGCGTCATTCCCCGATCGGCCCAGCAACCCGGTGCTTAGATCAGCCTCCCCCTTCCATCCCTGTTCTCGTCCTGCGACGCCCTTCGCCTGCCTTCCCTCTTAAGGAGGTATCTCACCGCGACCTGAGATCGCATTGTTGACGGCCTCCCCTCGGTTCAGCTTTACCGACCACCCCCCCCCTTCGGTTCCACCCTTCCCGAGGCGCCCCCTATCCCCCCGCGAACCCCACCTCCTTCGCGCCCCGCCTCCTCGCAATTCTTGACCGACCACCCCCCCCGTCTCCTCCCGACCGCCCCGCGCCCCTTGGGCGGGCATATATCAGCCCGACCCAGACTGCTGACTTCGCCGCACACCTTCTTCCGCCTCCGCGCCGCCTCAAAAAGCCCGCGAGCCCCCGCTCGCTAACGGAAGCTCCCCGAACCCGACACCGCCTGCTTATCGGCGGTGTCAAGTTGTCGCGGAAATACTGTGTTTTTAAAAGTGTAATGGATTTTTCTAATACTGAGGCCTATGAATAGAAATTTCTATTTATTATTAATGTATTGTTGAATTTGGTTAAACGCCTAATTATTGTTAAAAAATAAACGAGTTTCAATCTGAAAATCGCTAACTTCATTACCGTACATGTTAATCCCTCAATTTGATTTACAAACGACTAGTTAGGTCATTCATTGCCAGAATATTTAAACACTTATAAACCCTAACCTCATTTAAGTTTCATTCGTGGCTATAAGTTATGGTGGTAGTGATTAGTTTCGATGAGTTTGTGATGTGAAGTGATGTGAAACAATATTTTTTGTAAAAAAATAGAGTGATAGTATAACCAGCATTCTTACTAACTTATTTAAATAATGTTGTGTATTAAATCGCAATTAGGTGAATAAAAAAATAAAGCGTTACTCGCCTAGACTTCCAGTCAAGGATTAGCATCCGAATTGATTTGGCACTTTAAAATAATATGGATGATACGATCTTCAGATTGTGGGGAAATAGGAGGGACGAAGGGTTTTTCTTGTTCCTCAAAAAATGAGGCGTGTTATTTTATTATTATAGGAATAACAAAAATTGGTACTCTTGAAATTCGTATTATTGGATCTGTCCGTTGACTCGGCCCGGGTTAAGGATCATATAGTATGTGCATACATCCAACTTTGTATACTTTGTATATTTTCATGCTTGGAAGTTTTGGCAGGCAGCGTATTCGTTGTTCTCCGTGTAACAATAAGCGTATGTTGCTTTCTGGGTGGTTCCGGGCCTAATTGCTGATACGCATAAATAACTGCCGCACAAGTGTAGCAGGGAGAAGCAGAGGGTAGGTGCTGCCGAAATTTTCAAAAGCCAATGAAATATAACAAAGTATATGAAGTTGGATGTAAGCACTACTATATTCTTAATGGATAGAAGCCCTTCCTATGAACAGCGCGAATCAATTGGTGGTAGACCTTAGTCTTCTACGTACCGGTTTCAAATATATTGTTATTGTAGAACTAAATTTATATTGTTAAATGATATATGCAACGTATGTTAGATTTGTTTTGTATGGTATACCGAGTCATGAAAATGTAACTAAGTAGTTGTGTGATTTGTGTTAGTTAATAATTTAATATGATAATTTTACAGTATGAGGTAATTCCCTGGAGCAAATCATGGATAGATATCCGCTACGGCTTCATAGGATTTCGTGACACGCGATACTAAGGAGGAAATGTGAAGGCTTCATACGTTTATGGCAGAAATGAATCGCGAGAAAAATCTAGCAAGTGGTGCTATGTTTAGTCCTTGTTTGCATGTGTAGGAAATTTGGAAATTGCTGAAGTAGTAATGGATATAGCGGATCCACCATAATGAAATCAGAAACGCCTTTTGGATGAGAGAATATAACTATTTGGATACTGCATGCGGGTAAGGTATCCACTGAAGATGAAGGATCCAATGTGCGTGTGCGGTACGTTTCCGGTGGACAACGAATAGATGAACAGTTGAAACAATGTTGACATGATATTTTTTCCGTCCGAGCCTAGAGAAATTTGAGCGCCGTGATGATAATGTGAGATGATATCGGAGATAAAAGTGAAAGATGATTATGAGTAGTAGATGTGAAGCTGAAGAAGTACGAGATGATGGAAGTGGCCGAAAATATTGAATGGATAATGCATTTTCCTCGCTGCAGAAATAGAACGAATATTGAAGCTAGCTAGAAGATAGTGAACAATGACTTATATGGAGGGAAGAGAGTAACAGGAGTACGTTACCGTCAGAGTTTCATTTATGCTAAAAAAAAACTAACCGGCTACACATTAAGACAATTAGGCGGTATGTCAGATAATTATTTGAGAATGGCTTATTGATATTGCTTCGAACTGTAAATACCTGGAGGAGTGAATAAGCCATAGCCCCAGAACACTTATCAAGCTGAGGAAGATTGTCCGCTTAGCTT